ACAATCGGGATTAAATTTAGGGAGTACGAGGGAGAAGTGAAGTTTTATTGAAAAACAATACAACGCGTAAAATCTCGATGATAGTACTTTGTACGCATATTTTGACAAATATATTAGAGATAAGCAATAATCCTTTATGGGGATACGTTCGATATTTTATTCGAAGATAGGCTAACTTTTAAAATTGTTCGTTTATAATTCTTTCCATATTTTTTATCGAATTAATTTGTTAAAACAGAAAAGAATATATTTTACACGATCGATCGTTAAAATCTTTTGTTAATATTTTAAATTAAAGTGCAATAGTCAATCGTACTATCGTAAATATCATTGCGTGGTTTATTCATTTAAATTTGTAAAAAGGAAGAACCTTCCTTTTGAAAAAAATTCTTTTATCGGAAATTAATTCCAAAAATTGGAACCCGACAGTTATTTCGTATCTTTGAAAAGGAATGCTTCCTCCAAGGATAATATTATTTTATAAAAATATCTTGTTCAAACTGTTTGTACGAACAGTATTGTATTACCGAGATATCCGTACAAAAATGTTGATAAAACCAAGCTGTACCGTGTTCTGTCCGACCTAACCACAGTATATTCTACTTAACCAATGCAGTTACAGTGACGTGCTGTACCATTCGGTATCGTTTACGAGAGCATCCACGGATTTCCTACGGGCGCTCCACTTGTACATTCGTTGTCCTTTTACGAAGAAAGAAAATCGAAATTGAAATTTGCTTTACCCTAAAATTTCCTTTCCCCTTAAATTATTAACAATTTTTCATCGAATCAACATCGAAAGTTCCATTTTCGAACAACCAAATAACCCAAAAAAAAAAAAAAATCAAATGTTGATTGTTTAAAAAAAAAATTCTTTAAAAAGTTCCACACCACATCTATCCCCAACGACGATCGTCCACCATAGGCGGTATTTCCAAAAAAAACGAGGAAAATCGTATCCTATACACATCCTATTATCCCTCCACGATAATACCTTTACCTACGTAATAATCCTTTCCCTCGAATCTACCCGAAAAAAAAAAAAAGAAACAGTATCAACTCCCTCCCTCCCTCATATACACACACGCGCGCGCAATAATTTTCATCCCATCCGCACGCAAAAATCGTCAACCGTCAGAAGAACACGAGACAACATCCTTCAACCAGACACGAGACCTACATAATACCAACACGAGCTAACGTTTTTTTCCCCTTCCCCCACGCGATTACACTGGGAAGCCAGTGAAAAGACGATCCAGGAACGAGCGTGTATGCAGCCGCCAACGTACACGCGCATGCACGCACACACAAGCGTTGCACGTGTACGTTGGCAGGGCGAGAGAAACGCCGACTCGTCACGGAGAGACAGAGACTTGCACATGGTGGAAGAAGATCGGTGGAGAGGGGAGGGGGGCTGGCGCACCAGTTTCCGCGTTCCAGCGGCGCACAAGCGCGCCACGGCTCCCCCACACACACAACTCGACCACGAACACGAGCGAGACCCGTGTCTCACCAGGCTGGCTTCAGTAAGCTCCGAGCTTTCGACCGGTCTAGTTGTCTCTCCTTGCGTTCCGCGCCTCCTCGCCCCCTTTTGTCATCCAATCGTACGTACGTGCGTGCGTGCTAGCGTACTATCGACATGTGCGTGACGAGCAGCCAATCCTGATTCAACGCTGTCACGCATAGAGATATATACATATATGTATATATATATATATATATATACGTTTATCGAGATAATAATATTTTTAATACACACCGAGTCAAAAAATAAATTCGGTTGGAGAAGTTATCGCCTATGGATAAGATCGGGAGCGGATGGACCAGCCTGACCGACCAAGGCCTCTTCGCCCGTGTTTAACCTCTTTTAACCTGTGCGTTACCCGACTCGACGGGTACGATCATCGGGATTGTGATTGACGAGAAGTTTTAGTTCTCATCGTTCTTCTTTCGTTCGATCTTTAACCAAAGTGTAACTTGGCAAGTAATATTATATAAATAGGCGTTCCTTTTTTGTATCGGGGGATACACTCGATGTATGCGGGATGATGGATGAATAGATAGATCGTCGAGCGATGTTTTTTCGGATCGGCGAGAGTTGGACGAATGGTCGGGCGGAAGGGAGGATGGGAGCGTGAGTTGGATGGATTGTCGCATTGCACGAGCTTAGTGTCGGGGCTGGTGACATTGTTCCGGGGAGCACCGGCGGCGGGATCATGAGGACGAGCAGCGTGCACGGTGCAACGAGGGCCGCCTCGAGATCGATTCGAGGACTGTGCGATCAACTCGATTTTTATAACGGGAGGATAGCAAGCAGATCCGATCGGGCTTGATCTTGATTTCCTTTCTTTTCTTCTTCTTCTTCTTCTTCTTCTCCTTCCTTTTTCCTCTCGTTCGCTCGATCGATCGTGATTCGGGAAAAATTAACGAATGCCACTTCTTAGCGAGGGAGATAAGATTGATTTTAAACGATTGTGTACGAGGAGGATGCGTTCTGTGTGAAATTTTGAAGTGAGAGAGAAAGTGGTGCGTTACGGGAAAGAAAAGAAGAGGAATAATTCGGACGTTACAGGATTAACGTGTGATTAAAGAAATAAAGCAGCCTCCTTCTTCAACCAACGAGTCGAACTTGGCTTCCCAATTTCATCGGGACGAAAATCGAGTTTCCAAGAGCAACTGTCGATCAAAGTCGTGATTGAAAAAAAAAAAAACGACTATTTTCTTCTGTCCCGTCGTCCATCAATTTGGAAAAGAAATACCGAGATGTTTGAACGTTTTTAAGAGATGGTTTCGTGTAATCCATTATCCAAGATACCCGTCCGACTTTATCGAGCCGCGACCTGACTTTTATCGAAACGACAGTCGATCAAAGTGTCTGACCAAACACGATACTCTCCACTTAAGTTTCAATACGTTCGAGGGGGGAGCGTTGGCTAGCGTTTCACCGACCACGAGGTTCGAGCTGTGTGTGCAAAAGCTGTATGGGAGGTGGATGTTGCAACGAGACGATCTGGGAAACTGTTAGAAAGAAGATTTCCCCTCGTAATTTGAATATTCGCGTGGAACGCGTTGGGAAACTTGGAGATTGTTGTAAAGTGGAGAGTTTTTCGTAATTTGATCGTTCGTTTCTTCGTGAAAATGTTTCCATCTTATCGTTTCCATCCACGAAAAGGTTAAAGGATAAAAAAAAGAAGAGATGCAATTTCAAAAATTTTCTCGTCTTCCGAGAATAGGATAGAAAACAAAATAAACGAGGCGAGTTTTTTTCCTTCTTCTTCCCCCTCTAATCAAAAATAAAAATCGAACATCCTGTGAACATCTCGAGAAAGACGAACAACACTTTGAGAAGAGACTTTGGAAGATCTGGTTGCGGTGATTCTTCGACAAGTTATTATTAAGGATAGTGGATGGGTGGATGAACAAACGATTAACTCTCGGTCGAGTGGAGATCCAGGGATGCAGCAAAAGCTACGGTGCGCATTTAAAGGACGCCATTGAAGAGGACGAACTCGGTCGAAGAGGTGTGATAATGCAACATTAGGTCGGTGCGCGTGAAATATCGTTGTTTTTTTCGCGATTTTCCAAACGCGCACGTGGCCTCCTTCATCGCATTTTCGTTCGAAATTGACGTTCCTTTCCAAGAATTAAATTTCTTATTCTTGCCTCGCAGACGGACATTCCCCCCTCGTTCTTATAACTCGACAACGGACAAAAAGAAAATGGTAAAATTTCACAACGCGGAGGAAAGAGAAGGAATGGAAAAGGGATGGAAGACCAACCGAGAGAGGCGTTCGTCGAGCGGAAAATTGTTCGTCGAGGAGTAAAAAGAATTAAAGGATGCGATCGTTGAGTATCGGTAAGTCGTGGCGCGGGATTCGAATGAATGTTAAAGGAAGGGGTATTCCGGGAGGCGGCGGGGCAAGGTGTCGCTTTGATCACGGTTGATCGGGGGATTAATTGGAAGAGGGTAGTGGACCAAAGTGGACGTCGAATTTAACGGGTGGCCGCCCGCCGTTGCAACCCGGGTTATTTTCGGGTGAAACACGACGCGCAATTTCATAATTCACCGATTAGACGGATGGATTTCCCGTGGGAGTCGTTCTCTTCGATCCCTGGGGAGAAGGGTGGGGGTTGCAACGATCCTCCTTCGAAACGATTTCGCACGAGGGTTGAGAAATATTCAACAACTTTTTTTTTTTTTTTTCTTTCGAGAATCTTAAAAATTTAAAGAAAACCCTTTGCGCTGGGAAATGGAGTTCCTTTGTTCGTGGAATTAATAAGATGTGATAAGATTTTGTTGTTTGGAAAATTTTCACGAAATCATGAAGTTGGATAAATTGAACGTTATTATTAGGTGTAATGTGAGAATGAATGTTGCCTGAGCGATGAGAAATTACGCGTTTAAATCTAAATTAACATGATTTACGTTTAATTATAATAAAAGGATACGTGAAAAAATATTCTCCATCAATAAAATTGAGCCTGTCGCTATTACACGCGTATAAAAAGAATTGCAATATCGTTTCAAAGAGGCAGAGTAATTATACAGCTACAACGTTAAAAACCCATTGCAATATTGCATTAAAAAAAGGTACTTCATCGCGTGCAAACGATCGCTATTTACATTTACAATCACTTTTCTCCATAAATGTCATGAGTTCCATAAAAATTAAAAGACTTATCGAAGAGTATACATGCTTGTAGGTTATAAAAGAAAAAAAGGGAAAGAAAAATTTCGCCTTTGGGTATAATAAAACAACAGCTGTATTTAAAAAGACACTTTGCCCCTCGCAAAGGGTTAATCAGGACTATTTACTTTTCTCCACGAAATTCGCTTAAACGAATTAAAATTCGCACTGAATAAAGATTATTTAATAAGAGGGAAAAAATTTCTCGGCCAGCAACGAGTCTACGAGAGAAACAAAGTTGATCACGACTGTTCGCAATCGCGCTTTTAATCGCCTTTTCCTCGTCTCGCGTGAATTTTCACAAGAATTTCACGGAATACGGAAAACAAAAAGGTTGAAAGGTTGTGATTTCTGTTGTCAGTGTGCGCAGAGAATCGGCGAGAAAGGCTCTCCTCCGTGTATTTTGGACTCGAGAGCCCGTAAAGTTTTAACAAAGCGAAGGGGTTACAATGCGAAGTGTCCTCTCACCTCGTTCCCCCGAGGGCACCGCGCGTTAGAGCAACTTGCACACCGCCGTGCTCAATGTTAATTAATTCAGACGTAAGATGATATGGAGTCTGAAGACGAAGTGGACGAGGAGCTGCCGGGGGTGAAACGCACGGAGGTACGATAATCCCTCTAAAAAAAGAAGAGAGAAGGGAAAAGAAAGAGAAATAAATGGGAGTACGAAGGATGGGGGAGATTTTTTAATCAATTGAAAACCAATTCGTTAAGATGATATTGATATCGAAAATGAACTTTTAAATTTTTATGTTGAAATAATAACAACGATGTTAATCTATATTCACGTAGAGGGTTAGTTATTATATATTATTGTTATTGAAATGAAATGAGAGAATGTGACGGAATAGCGTCACTCTATCTTATTTCATCTCAAGTGAGATTTTTCTATATCAACATTTGTTTTGATCTCTAACAATCAAACCCTCTTATGATGTGATACATTAACATCAATGTGTGCAATATATAATAATAAATATAAGATTTATCAAATGAATTACTTGCCTTCGAGATGTACGCTTTTGACTTTTATTTTATTGTGTCAGGGACACAAGAAAGATCTTCTTCTGGGTAGAAGGAATTACAATTGAAAAATAAAAATATTTAGAAAAATCCTTAAAAGGAATTTCTTTTTTTCATACGGTATCAGTTTTGTATCTAGAACAATAAAAAAAAAAAAAGAAATAAAGAAATCAAAAGAGAATAGAAAAGTAAAGCATGTATAATTAATGCTTAATAATAATAATATTAATTAATCATGATGATTCGAGTGTTGAAAGAAGTAAATGGTTAACGAATTGTTGAGAGAAAAGAAATATAAAAAAATTGTAAAAACACAGGTGAACCGGAACGATAATACAAAGAGGCTCGAGACGATGAAAATTTCAACGAAACCAATGTCCTCGAAGACGGTAGAGCGAAGTGAGTGCCAGCTGGTGCGCTCACCGAATCCGGAGGAACCGGAACTCGTCGTTCCGTACAAGAATCCTGGCAAAACGAAAACGCAAGAAGAATCAAAATTACCTTTAAGCATCAGCATCAAGACTGACACGAAGGACAGTGAAATAGTGAAGTTATGTAGAAGCAAGAGGATCACCTGTCAGGACACCATACACGAGTACGACGAGGATGATGGACTCACTATGGAAAAAGTTGGAAGGTAAATAAAAATATATATTTATTTTTCTCCTGCAATTTTTTGTTACTACTAATATTAAAATGAAATCAATCATCAACCATTGCATCGTTATTTTGTTGTTTTTTTATTGTACATGGCTTGAATGATTGTTTGAAATATAATTTTTGAATATAATTTATGCAAAAAAATAATAATTGTGTGTCTAATATAATCCTTCTCACATGATCTTTGATGAGGATTATTTTAAAAATTGCTATGAGGAATATTTTAAATATTTTAAGGATGAAACATGAACAAGTTTGCAGCCACTACAAGCTATGATATTCTAAAAGTTGGAAAACATATTCATAGATGTTCTCGGTGTAAAAAAAATAGTTTCTTTCTTTTTCAATTTATATACAAATAGAAATATATTGGCTACAAAGATGTCAAGCAATATACAAATATTCTCAAAAAGAAAAAGTATTTAAAAAATAACAGTATATAATATTGGACATAACAAACACGTTCCAAAATTAAAATTATATTAAACGAGGTCCCCTTATTTTGATATGTACAATTTTCCACGCTTGAAAAAAAAAAAAAACCAAGGCTTGAACAACGATCAGACGCATGAAACAATCTCAATCCCTTGCTTAATGAACAACATTATTATCCTCTATCGATCACAATTTTTCGAAAAAGATACCTGGAAGCGCATCCGGACGCTGCAGAGGCCTGGTTCCGTGAGAACGCGAGCCAGGAGCTTCGTCAAAGGCTTCAAGGTATGGCCGTAATTCAAGCGAAATCACCGTTGAAAAATATACATCAGGAGGAGAATCTCCTGAGCAGAAGCAAACGTAACAGCGTCACATCTGATCTGTTCCAAAGCTGGCTGGCTTCCAGTTCGCCAGCCAAGCGCAGTAAAAGTCCCAGCAGGTAAATTACATTTAAAAATCTTGATAAAATATATTCACATAGATAATGTAAACGTTTTATGGAAATAAGCAACGGTATTTTGTTCATTCGATTATAATTTAATTGACAAGAAATGAATTTTCGATCAAGCTGGAAAATGAATAAAGATGAAATTAACAAATTTTGAAATGAAAAATCATGTGTGAATATATCTCAAAAAAGATGAACGTTCACTCTCAGGATGTATACCTCGTTGGTGGGACGAAGAGAAGAGCTCAACAGGTTGGATGAAAGCGATTTGTTCATGGAGTTGATCAGAGACGTGGCAAATGAATTGGATATCAACGTTCTCTGCCACAAAATTTTGGTAAACGTCGGCCTGCTTACACACGCCGATCGTGGAAGCCTTTTTTTGGCTAAAGGACCGTTGGAAGATAGATATTTGGTTGCAAAACTGTTCGACGTGACACAAGACACTGAATTGGAGGAAGCCATTCAAAAAGCGAAGAACGAGGAGATTAAGATTCCTTTTGGAGTTGGAATAGCTGGCTACGTGGCTCAAACTAAGGAAATCATCAACATCAAGGATGCATACAAGGTTTGAGCAAAGCAAATTATAAGAGGCACTGGGTTTATTTGTCCAAAATTAATTGATTTATTAATCGAAATTAGTATAAACTATTGGATTGGGCCAATCTATTAATTTTGGACCAAAAAGAGATGAAATAAATTGTTTGAATGTTTCTTTTCTAGGATCCAAGGTTCAATAGCTCTATTGACATGAGAACTGGCTACAAAACTACCCTAATTTTATCCATGCCTATCTGTAATTACGAAGGAGACGTGATTGGAGTTGCTCAAATTATAAATAAGACTAATGGTAGCAATGAGTTTACCGATAGAGACGTCGAGGTGTTCCAGAGGTTAGTAGACAACTAACCATTTGAAGAACGGTAAACATTTTCTATCATAGACATAGTTTATAAATAGAATCTATATCAGAGATTATTGTCTAACCTTAAAGAAATCTATTGTTATAAATTAGAAATAGAAAAATCAAAAAAATATATATAACTGATTCCAGGTACTTAACATTTTGCGGGATTGGGATACAAAATGCGCAATTATTCGAGCTCTCCGTGCAAGAATATCGCAGGAACCAGATTCTCCTTAACTTAGCCAGAAACATATTCGAGGAGCAGAACAATCTCGAGTGTCTGGTCACGAAGATCATGACCGAAGCGAAGGAACTTTTAAAATGCGAAAGATGCGCCGTTTATCTTCTGGATCTCGACTGTGGCGAGGCAGTAAGTTCATCTCGATCAACAATTTCGTATAACAAACTAAAACCAAAGAATTTTTAGAAGATTAGATCGTCTAATCTATTTGATCTGTACTTAAACTGTGTGGTTAAATAGCAATAGAATAACAAAGCTGTGAAAAGGATTTCTCGACGAGGGTCGACGAGGAACGTAATAAGAGATTCTAAGTTTCGTTTCAGGGACACCTCGAAAAAATCGTCGAACGGCCGGGAAAATCGATGCAAGAGAGCCGGAAACCGCTTTCGAGGAGAGAGGTGAGTGACACCGGCACGTGTTGCTCAGGTTCGTAAGTCTGATGATCTTTTTCTTCTTTCCTGGCGGCTCAGAGTAACAACATCGAGATGGAGGACATTTTCCAACAGCATGTAAGTACATTTCTGAAAAAAATCAAAAATGATCACTACGCGTACATAATAATCATGTGTGCTAATTTATTAGAATTTATTAGAAATATCAATATAACAAAAATGAGTATAGCAAATTGAATTCTGTTTATATGAAGTTATAAAGAGAGAATTATAAACAAATTTATATAATTTTACTTGATTATGCTCTCCATTATGAATTCTTGTACGATTACAACAGAGTTCCAAAATAAATTTTGAAAACAATATTGCAAAAAATAATTTTTCTAGTGCTTAATAAAGTAATCCTTAATTTAAGCATTAATAATGAATTTATTTGATTTTAGAATATTAACAAGTTAAATTGATTAATTGATTATTTTATACACTTATACATTAATTACTAAAATTCATATAAACAGAGTTCTACTGTACAAGTAGAATTTAAATAGATCCAGAAAAAAGGATTTTATTGACATCTTAAATTTTAATTTCCTATACGATTTTTAATTTTTCACTTTTTTCATTCGAGATACGTCTATTTTTATATGAATGTTTCTCAGGTGACGAACGATGGAAATAAATTCACCACGATCTTCGAGATGGACAACGAGACACAGAAAGCCAAAGTGTATAGACCTAGTGCGAGCGATTTATCGAATCCATTGAGCCAAATTGCGAGATACGTCGCAGCTACGGGTCAAATTTTGAACATCGGTGACGTGACCACGTGGCTGAAGAAGGACGTGGTTCAGGCCGGAAGCGACCCTATCAAGAGCATTCTCTGCATGCCCATAGTTAACGGGCAGAGAAACGTGATCGGTGTCGCTCAATTAATCAACAAGGTTGAAATTCACTTCTTACGATCCCAAAATTCAAGATTTTCGACTAATTATATTCAATCAAATTCACTTTCATTTAAAATCACAATATTGTACAATAATTTAAAAGATAGAACAGGCAATCATTGTAATGTTCAAAAACTTTCAAAATTTTCTATTTCTCATTATAAACTAGGTTATTATCCAGAACGGGGAACTTTGATATTTCAAACAACTCGATAATTCACAGAATAATTATTAATACACCGATACGCATCTAACATATTCGCAAATCGTTCAACAGGATAATGGAACATCGTTCACGGATTCCGACGTATCGATTTTCGAAGCTTTCGCCATCTTCTGCGGCCTTGGTATTCATAATACCCAAATGTACGAGTCAGCATGCAAGCTGATGGCCAAACAAAAGGTTGCCCTCGAGTGTCTGAGCTATCACGCGACGGCAAGCAACGACGATACGTTAAAATTAACCTCAGAACCGATACCGTCCGCAGAATCCTATAATCTGTACAGCTTCACGTTCATCGACTTCGATTTGACCGATGAGGACACTTGTCGGGCAACCATTAGGATGTTCAAACAGTGCGATCTGATACAAAAATTTCATATCCCCTACGAGGTCCTGTGCAGATGGATTCTCAGTGTAAAGAAGAATTATAGGTGAGAAATATAGAATGAAAATAGACACATCTAGCTTTCCTTATACAATATGAGTACGCAACTTAAAATATAAGAAACACACGTATATTTGATGAAAAAAAAACAATTTCGTTTCATGAAGATATAAAAGAAAAGTTGTGCCTTAATTGTGAAATTCTATGAAATTCTATTCTAAGTACTTGTTTTATATCAATAATCCAATAAAATCTTTACTCTGTTAATTTTTTATTAATTATTTTTTAAATAATATTGTCAAAACAAATTCATAATAGCGAAGAAAATCTTTTATTTGAAAAATATAATGATCACTACGTGTCCCTTTTTCAATTTTTAAAAAGTAATTCATTGTCACAGTGAAAAATTTATTTTATGTTTGTCCCAATAAAGAATTTAGAAAAGAGATAGATAAAAATTTACGCGCCTCTATTTTTGAAATATCCTGTACCGTGAAAATGTTATCCTGACTATTTTTAGGCCAGTCAAGTATCATAATTGGAGACACGCACTGAACGTTGCCCAGACCATGTTCGCCATGCTTAAAACCGGCAAGATGGAACAGTTCATGACCGACCTTGAAATTCTTGGACTCTTGGTCGCCTGTTTGTGCCACGACTTGGACCATCGAGGAACCAATAACGCGTTTCAAATGAAGACAGAATCACCATTGGCCATCCTCTATTCGACCAGCACTATGGAACATCATCATTTCGATCAGTGTGTCATGATCCTGAATTCGGATAGTAACAACATCTTCCAGAGTTTGTCTATGGAGGACTATAGAAGAGTGATGAAGGTGGTCGAGAGTGCTATACTTTCCACAGATTTGGCGGTTTATTTCAAAAAGAAAAACAAGTTCATGGAGCTGATTGATGAGGGCGAGTTCGATTGGCAGAGTGAAGAGAAGAAAGAACGTAAGATTAAACAATTATGCATAATTACTATAAAAAAAAAGCTATAGAAAGAAGCAGAAGAAATATCTATATCTAAAATAGATTTAAAATTGGTCAATGTAAAAAAAGCTATAAATTTAAAAGATAAATGATCACCTATAAGATATATACAGAAGAAATTTTCATATTATTCTATATCTGATTACATTTCAATCTAATTATTTCTTTATTCATATTAAATATAATAGCTATCTACATTTGATAATCACTAAATAATCTATCTATCACTATTAAATCTAATAATTGGTATATATTAATATCTATCTATTAATATAAATTTGATACTTGTGTTTGTTTTGTGAATTTATACTAAATAAATTTTGCTTTCACAACACACATTTTCCTATGCCGATAATAAAATTAATTGATCAAATAATTGACCGTTTCCAAGACATTATAACGACTCGTGTTAAGGAAATATTTAACTTTACCTTTAAATTCGAATCTTTAAATTTTCATTATCTACTTTCAGTGTTATGCGGAATGATGATGACGGCCTGCGACGTGAGCGCCATAGCGAAACCCTGGGAGGTGCAACACCGGGTGGCCAAGCTGGTCGCCGACGAATTCTTCGACCAGGGTGATCTGGAACGTCTCCAACTGAACCAACAACCAGTTGCCATGATGGATCGCGAAAGGAAGGACGAACTTCCCCAAATGCAAGTCGGTTTCATCGACGTGATATGCCTGCCTCTCTACAAAGTTCTCTCCGACACGTTTCCGTGGATCATGCCACTCTACGAGGGCACCATGGAGAACAGACAACACTGGCAAGATCTAGCTGAAAAGGTCGAAATGGGTCTGACCTGGATAGATCGTGACACCATCGATGAACCAGTCGAAGAATTCATCTCGTACGAGCCCAAAGACATCGAATTCACGGTCACAACGTTGAACTGCGTGGACAGAAAGGAAGTCCCTGAGAAATCTGCGTTAAGCAGACTTATCTCTCTAAGGAAAGGTGGTCCTACTCTCGGCAAGGATGTAAGGCACAGACTTAGCAGGCCAATTTACGCGAGAAACGCTCCAGAGGACGCTGCCAAATCCAAGGCCCTGATTCCTGACAGGAAGAGTCGGAATAAATTGTGCTTGCTCATTTGACGGCTTACGTCCACCACTCTTGAGAGCATACCTGAATGATAAAAATGAAGATGAGAGATCTCATGAGGGAATTTGTGCGAATTTGAGCATCTTGATGCAAATGTGTTATTGTCTACTGGTTAGCTAACTTACCAGGCTATAACTAGTATGATCAAAGAGGTTGGAACGAGGATTACCTGTAGATTCTGTGAGATTCATCAGGAAGATTTTAGAGGATGTAATTCTGGGAAGTACAATGACTGTACACGACCGAAGAGGGGAAAGCTTCTGAGTTGGAAAAGCTTGGAATCAGTCGATGGAATGAAACGGTACATGGTGTGATTTATCTGCTGTGATTGCTGTCCATCTGCCTAGAAAATCAAAAGTCAAGAAAGTAATGTGAAATCAAACATTTGCTCGAATAGACGAAGATACATTTAGGATCACCGAGTCGAAGGCTGAAAGTTTGCAGATTTTAATCCCAAGACTGTCGTCGAGTCTTTAGAAAAAAACACGTTAGACGAGTAGTCAATGGCTAGTTAGTTAGACTGGCGATAAGTTAGACGACCTTTGTCGAATTTTACCGTGGAGAAGAGAAAGAGAAGAGAAGAGAAGAGAAGAGAAGAGAACGAGAAATTGAAAGAATAAGCGATGGTGCACGGATTCAATTTTGACAATCTTTTTTGTATTACATCTCGATACGTTAATTAGGATAATCCGATGGATAAAACTGGTGAAAAATAAAAGAATGGATATCGAAATTTTTGAAAAAAAGTAACGCCGAAAGATGGGCATTTTTATATATTAAAGAAAAAGGAAAAGAAGAAAAATAAAGAAAAATATGATGCAAATTTATAATAAAAAAAAAAAGAAAAAAGAAAAAAAAAGAGAATAAAACTCTTGGATGACACATCGTATTTCTATCCCACTCGTTTCCAAGATGACGCGTGGAATCAATCGACGACATTAACGAATGATAACCAAGGTAAATCAATGCCTATTAAATTAACGATTTCGTTGCATCATTCAAGCCAATCCAAAAATTGCATCTCTGACGCAGAAAATGATCACGCGATCTCGCATTCTTGGAATTGAAAGATTATTTGTTATTTGTTATTTTTTCATCCCTTCTTCTCTTCTTTTTTTCTTTACACGGATCTTTGCAAAAATTGACGTATTCTTTTTTTCTTTTTTTTTCTATTTTTCTGTTATTTGATTAATAATCCATAGAAGGAAAAAACGAGAAAAAAAAATCCAAAGAATCTTCTGTTTACTAATTTTTAACTTATTCATGATGAAGTAATAGATAAAATTTTGTCGTGAATAGCAATGGCATTTTACAAAAACAGATATTTTCTTGGTGAAACAAAAAATACACAAGCGAGATACGTGATATAAATAGATAGTACGTACAAAAATCAATTAATATTCAAGATAATTCGAGAGTGCTGTGTTTAAAAAAAAAAAAAAAACGAACATGAGAATCCATTGTAACAAGAGTGAAACTGGTTTCTAGTCTTTTGATATAGCTACTATGTATGAAAATATGCCTGTCAAAGACTATCGCACACGACTAAATAAAATCTGAATGTGCTCAAAACGTTAAGCAATTGAACTATTTTTTCTTCTTTTCATTTTCTCTTTCTCCCTTTTTTCTTCTTTTTTTTTTTTTTTCTTATATTCCTATATCCTGAGAAAAACAGAAATTTTTTTTAAATATTTTAAGGATTAAATTAAAAAATTAAATTACAAAACAAATATATTAAATTCTAATAAAATAGGAGTATTATTAAATTCATAACATTCATACTTAACATTCACACTTTCTGATGAATGAAAATTTCACTTTTTTTTTTTTTTTCAATTTCAATTTGCATTTTTAATCTTCGGTGACTGATCATAGATCGTCAATGACACTCACAAAAAAAATATATCCATTTTCATAAATATTATGATTCACTAGTGATCCAGACGAAATTTTCATTTTCCTTTGATGAATTTTATGTCATAGATTAACCGATAACCCATGAAGAAATTTGCATTTTTCATTCATTATTATGGTTCACTAATGATCCATGAAGAAAGTTTCATCTTCGAAGACTGTAATTGTAATAGATCATCAATGATTCACAAAAGAATTTTCATCTTCTTTCATTATTGTGGGCCAACGGTGATTGAAAAATTTTATTTTCAATTATATTATTTCGATTCACTGGTGACCCGCAACAACATAAAATTAGATTAAAATCACCTTTATTCAATTTCGAAGAGTAGTCCTTTAGCTCCGTGACTTTTTACGCAGCTTTTTTTTATTATTAAAACATTTAGAAATTACACTCGAACGATGGTGTCCTTTACACAATAACGAATCATCAAACGTTTTTTGGTCCTACAATTAAATTAAGTATAACAAACGGTTCCTTTTATCTCTTCCCTCTTCATCGATATTCTTTCGATATTCCGTGTGTTGACAATTAATTCTCTATTTACAACATTATGCAATATTCGATTGCATAAGGAAAAAGAAAGAAAGAGGAGCCTGACACACGTAACACTACGACACTGTTCGACAATTATTTTTTTTTTTTTTTTTTCTTTTTTATTTTTTTTCAAGAGAGGAAAAAATGTGTTATACGCGAAATTGAAATTTTCAATCTCCATTCGTTCACTTAATAAAACAAAAGTAAATGTCGAGGCAGTGGCGCGGCTATTTGGCAAGACTCTTTCACTTTATAGTACAATAATGTAGAGCAGGCTCCATTTATGATCATCGTGACCAAGGACAAAACCGAATTACCTTAGACGCAGTAAAAAATGAATCTTTCCTCTCTTTATCACGCAGATAAATATGTCTCGGCGTTCGCGCAACCGTTGAAACCGTCTGACGCGAAAAAAAAAAAAAGGAAGAAAAGAGAAAGAAAGATATCATTCGTAGTCAACGTCATAAAGAAGAAAAGTTTCGTGGCTTGTCGATTGAGATCAATATCGTTCCCTTAAAACGAATATACAAATGGAAAATGATCCATGAAAAAATCAAGCACACGGTTGCAAAGAATATTTGAGAAGAAAATTCCTTAAGTCTCACGCGATTCGTAGAAAAATATAAAATAAAAAGGATCACGCATACGATGTGATATAATTATGTACAAAACTAGCACCTATGTACATCGAAAAGGTGCATGAACACGCACGGTTCATCCTTGATCACAATGTTCTCGCACCGTCACATTGATTCATAATACAATATAATCTACATTTTAATAATCACCTCTTTAATAATTCTTTAAATCCTTATTCCCTTCTTTATCTTCTTTTTTTTTCTTTTCCTCTTTTTTCCTTTTCTTTCTTTTTTTCTTTTTTTTTTTTTTTTTTTGTTACTAA